ATAACCTAGTGAAGTTAACAGGTTTGCAAGTTCAGAGGATTTAAAATGTAATATCCAAGCAGAGGTGTTAGGTATAGCAATTGGTGAAGAATCTTTAAGCAGACTTTTTGAATAAGTAATATAGAAAAGTTACATGTGTAGCCAATTGTATTTTTTTCCTGTAATAGTTCACTGAAACATATTTACTATTGTTAAATAAAGTTGAAAGACCTAAGAAGTTACCTTAACACCAAAAAAAAATTTATATTTTTTAATATTAATATATTGTTTTTTAATAATTAATTAATGCTTACTACTTAATTATTTATTAAAATCTTTAAAAAACTAAAAACTACTATTAAACTTTTGCTAATTAATATTATAACTATATAACAAAAAGTTTTATTTACATTAGTTAACATTAATATTAATGTATTTTTTTTGTATAAAAAAAGTAATCATCTTTTTTTGTTTTATATAAAAAGTTTTAAATTTAAAAATATTATATAAAATAAAATTTAATACTTAATTTAAATTAAAAGATAAATTATTTTTTAACTTTATAAGATAATTTTTATATAAATTTTTTTTTTTAGTTTAAAGTAGCAATCTTGCCTATATGTCTTTATTAAATAATATATAATTATATATTTTATATACAATAGTCTATCAATAAAAGTATAACTAGCTATATGTATAACTTTAGTTATTATCTAATTAAAAATTTTACTTATAGGTTACCTACTGGATGCTATATCTAAGATCTGCCTCCGAGTTTCCTATTTAAACTTTTTGAATTTTAACATATATTGCATATATATGTAATGTTTATATTATCATTGTAGTAACATATTAAGGTTAAAGCTATCTTAGTTACTATTTATATCAAAGTACCATCTTATTAAATGTTACTAAATATTTATTTTCTTTCAAATTTATCTTTGATGCAGACTTACTAAATATAGTACCAAGATTACCTCTTAGATTTAGTGTATCCTGTATTTACTAAATAGTATTAGTGCCAAAGATTTTTGAATTTCAGTAAGTTCATTTCTTTTTATAACTTTTTTTTATGTTTATTGTATTATATGCTAGTATGTTTTGTTTTTATTTATAGTATATTTATCACTTCTCTTATATTAAGTACTAACTCTCTATATTGAGAAACTTCTTTTCAGAAACTTTTTTATATATTAATCTTCTATTTATATAAACTTAGCCACAAAGCTTTGCATATATTTATATGCTTCTGTAGATTATAGAGTTTTTGCCTCTAGCTAGAATTGAACTGTTGGCCTTGTCTGTAAAGAAAATAGTGTCTAGACTACTAGGCTACAGGATCCTATTCCTAATTTTTATATAAAATTTGATCTAATAATTTATTTTCTAAATAAAATTTGCAAATATAATATAATCTTGCTAATTTATATTTTAAAAATAAATGACAATTAAGATATTTAGTTTTTATATTAAAATCTTTTACAAATTTTGTAAATGTTAGCCAAAATTTTTGTTATATTATGCTTTTTTGTACCTTTTTTTTATATAGAATTAACTCTTAAAACAAATCAAAAAAACTAAAAATTATTATATTTTATCTTATATTTAATTTTTTTTTATTACAGCTTTTAATTTGTTTTCTTTTATATAATTTTTGACTATTTTTATTTTTTGCTATTTTTTAAATTTTTGTTTAAAAAAACAGTTAGCTTTGCAAAAATTATAAACTTGAAATAACATTTAAGTTTAACTCTTATTATAACATACTTTAAATAATTTCTAGTAATCAATTTGTTATTAAACATTAATTTAACTTAGTTTATTGCTTTATTATATGCAGTTTACAATGTAGTAACTAGTAATTAACTTGCTAACAAATAAAATATTAATTTAAAAAAATTACAAAACTTATTTATTTCTTTTGTAATAAATTTTTGTAAATTTAGTAAAGCTAATTCTAATTTTGAATTGTCTTTATTTCAACAAACTTTAATTCAATATAAAGAGTAATTATTTTGTAAATATTTTAATAATATTTTAAGGGAGTTGGTATTTTCACACCCTATCTTTGGTATTTCTACACCCCTTGCAGATCGATAAATTACACAATATATTTTTACAATAAGATTGACATATATCTGCATATATTTTTACAATAGGATCGATATACATATACTTAATATAATTATATATATTATAGCACAATGAATATTAACAAATCAAATTAGTTAAAAACATTCAATACTGTACATACCAATACGTATATAGGTAATAGTAATTTGATTCTACATTTACTGTTATTACTTTTAAATACAGCATATTAAAGACAATTACTAAAAATCATTCATAATTATTTACTACTCAAATTATCCACCTGTCTAAAAAATTAGCATTCAGCACATAAATCGTAAGTGTTATGAATATTGCTATTAACATATGTAAATCTTTTCTCAAAATCAAAACCTATACTAATTTTTCAACTATCTTTTATTAAATATTTCTAGGTTTATCATATAGATATTTTTTTACTTTATATTCATGTATAGTGAAAATTAATATTTTTTGATAGCTTCATGATGATTTTTAGAAGTAATACTGATAAATAAGTTACTATCTGGTCGATTGATTTCATATAAAAAGTTCTGCAGTTTTAATATATTAAAATAAAACAGGTTCTGACTGCTACCATTGTCTAAAATTAGATAGATATATAGGGGTGCCTACAGCAAAAGCAGGAGATGAGACTATGTATTATATAGTCCTATCTTCTGGTTTTGCTGTAGACATTCCCATATATGAATTAGCTAGTATCAGTATATTATTATTATTGGAAAAATTTATGCAAGAACTCTTTTTATATAGCACTATAAGTATAGAAATCTGTGCTTTACTGTTACTGTTATAGAGACATGTGATATTAAAAAAGCTCAATAGAAAAATTTTGGATTATACTTCCTTTTATTAAAATATATTACTTATCATTAAGATTGTATATAGAAAAATCAAATTAAAGATGTGGTTAATAAAAGTACAAGAAAATATTATAAACAAATATATATTTAAGACTTATGTATATATTATATAGCACTCTGATATAGGGTTTATTTATAAATCCTAATAAGTGATCAAATTTAACCATAATGATTTTTAAAACTTTTGTTTAATAAAGTGCAAAGGTTACATCATGAATAAGTAATCTAATAAATTTGGTTGTAATGTTATTCTTTTTAAATTAGTTATCTAATTTATGAAAAGAATCAAAAAATACATTAATATAGACAACTATTCTATCTACAACCTACATAAAACCAAATTCAATATTTTATATATTTCATATCAATTTAATACTAGAATTTTTTAAACAGATCTCAATTAATATCAAGTTTATAAATCATGGCTAGAGCAAGTTCTACTATTATGTCCAATATTATAATATATATCACATTTTCTACTAGTTGTTTTTGATTCTTCTAGCTCAAATGCCAATGGGATTCTTTGAGTTGATGTTTGAGTATTGTTTCTTGATTCTATTGGTCGTTTTCGGGTATGTGCAACAGTTGGGTCCAGTAAATGCATAGGTTGTTCTTTAATTATTTTTGAAAGCTTATTATGAGCCCTTGTTTGTTGTAAAACTATCTAGGTTTTATATTGTTAGTGGAATTCTTCAAGCAGTTGCTCTAATTGATTATCATTTGCCAAATCTTGTTGAGATAATATACTTCTATCAATCTACCAATGTTGATTAATGTCATGAAGGTTTAATATTTGGTAGGCAACAAGACATCTTTTGATTATATAAGCACAGAATAAACCCATCGTTAAACTTAAAGTACCAGTACAAGTTGGCAAAGAGTTAACAGAATTGGCTAATAATGCTTTAAGATATTGTTCATGCACTTTTTTTAGTACAAAGAAAGAAACTTTAGTGATGAGTTTACAGTAAAATGGAATATTTTGTTTATGTAGGATTCATATTTTTTCTTGGGTAACCATTGCTTTAATTTCATTATGTTGGCTTTCAAGTAATAATAAAATTTTTTTATACACCATATTGAGATTTCTTGTTGAAACCTGAATATTAAAATATAATATACAATAAGGTTAAGAATAAAGAACATCTCTATTGCATCATATGTTAAAAAAAAAAAAAAAAAAAAAGGTAAACCTGAATATATTGTTTTAAAACTGAATGGGCACCTTCTGCCCGTAAGGTTACAATATTACTCAGATGAAGGTACTTGTTGATTCATGCACTTACAAATCAGTCTTTAAATGGCAACCAGGTATTTTGAACATAATTGATTATAAGTGAATTTTCATAATTAGTATATAACTTCTGCTATTGAGTTGCAAAATCCTTCTTTGTCTTTGAGTTCATTATACTTGTCCAACCTTTAAGAAATTTTGCCTATTCATTCTCATTGTGAAAATTTTTTTTACATTTACTCATAATATTTTTGTTAATATGCTATTGACAAAGGAAATTTTTTGATTCAGAAAACACTTGTTTAAGTGCATTAACAAGCACTAACTCACAATCTGTTACGACAACTTTTGGTTTGTCAATTCTATTAAACAAATGTGATACCTGCATAAGCACCTACTCATAATCTTCCTTATTCTCATTTTTAAGAAACACAAAACATGAAAAAAAACTTGTGTTGAAAGATGTTACTCTCACAATATTTAATAATGGCATCCTGAACTTATTCATTTTATATGTACAATCTATTAATAACACAGAAGAATATGTACGAGTTAATTCAATGGATTGGTTGTGAGAGATAAAAAGGTGCATTATAAGTCCTTCTAAATCACATATAAAATCATATTCAAATGGGCCTTTTTTAAGATCATCCAAAAGTGCCTGAATAGGCATTTTTCCTTGGAGATATTCATGATAAAGCTTTTTATAAGCATTGTAAATATCTTGTAATTTGGTTATAACTGAACCATCTTGATCGAAAAAAGATAAAATTTGCTAAGGATAACAACAGCTTTTGACATAGTATCCAATTGTTCAAAAGCTTGCTTGTCTAGTCTTCAAAGAGATGGGTGGGCTGATGGATCTTCAGATTGTTTATGGTTATGTTCTGGGTTACTAATAGACAAATTCCATAAATTATCTGATCTTTTTTTTTCATAAAGTGTGAAAGGGCAGCTTATAAGCTTTAAACCAGTATTTCTATAGCATGTCTCATTGGTAAGATTCAGATGATTTCGATAGTTTTCTCCTGATCACAAGCTAAATATACAGTGTTTGGTTTGGATCTTGCAATTGATACTCCATATCTGTTTGTCATACTAAAAGTCTGAACATGCTCTATTAGTGCATCACAACTTTAAAACACTCCAACAGAAGGAGGAAGCATAACTACTATATGTTTTAAGTGTAAGTATTTAAAAAAAAATTTCTTTGATTAAAGCATATAATGTTTTGTGCTTCTCTGTTTAAATATCATGTTAAACACTTTTTTTTTATCACATGCTTTGACTTAATATAAAATGAGATATATATGCTTTACAGAATTAATCGCTACTGTAATCTAGCTAAAGATTTTTTAATACTTTATATATTGTTTAACCATAAAACTTTGTATCAGTGTTCTTTATGCGATTTACTATATAAGTATTAGTTACTTTTATTTTTTTTAAGCAAAAGCAAAAAGTTAATATTTTATTGATCTTTTCCTTTTATACCCTATAACTATTACATAATTGTACTACATTTTTTTAATTTTTAATATATTATAATATTATATGCTGACACTATATTTCTAATTATTTTCTGATTTAATCATGAGACTGTGTTAACTTAATTACTACATATGTAACTAATAAGATATTTGCCAATCAGATTTATATATTTTAACAAGAAGCATTTTCTATATGAGTGCATGAGAATAAAAACCTAGAAACTGATTTAATGATTTACTATGATCAGTTTTCAGGTTTTCACTATTATACACTTGCACTCATAATTATGTAAAATATATATATAGAGATAGTAAAAAAATGGCTTAACCAGTTTTTTAAATATTTTTATTGTTTTAAAACTTTTTTTAAAACATTAAAGTCTGAGATAAAATTTTACTGAAACTAAAAATATTAATTAATTTTAATTGTCAGACAAGAAATTTTTAAGATGGTGTTATAATTTCAAATTTATGATATATTACATAAAAAAAAAAAGCTATTGTATTTTAAATATATATTTGATCATCCATCTGATACTGATGAAATATTCATTATATCGATTAGGACTAATATAAAGTTTTGACATAATGATGCTTCCATAAATTGATTTTTAAATAGCTGGAAAAAGCATACCAGTCAAATAAAAAACTTTGCTAATGTACTATCTTTACATGTTATTAATAATTAATCTTTTAATCAGTTAACTGAATCAACAGTCTTCGTGATAATTATATGTTGGCAATATGTTTTTAACTTATATTTATCAAGTTTAGCAACTTTGTAAAGTTTAATAGATTTTTTTTAAAGGAGGTCTTTTGCAAATATAAATTATTGTTTTAAGGAATTTTTTTTTTTTTTGAACATTAGTATATTATCATAAATACTATATAATTATAAAAATTATGCTATTAAATCATAATTATATCATAATGTATTAAACTATTTTTTAACAGTATATCGATCCTATTATAAAAATATATGCAGATATATGTCGATCTTATTGTAAAAATATATTGTATAATTTATCGATTTGCAAGAAGTGTAGAAATACTAAAAATAGAATGTGAAAATACCAGTTCCCTATTTTAATCTGATGTTTATATAATTTTTAATTAGTAAAAGTTATTATATTTTTATTTTTTTTTTATTTTTTTTTTTTGGAGTTAAGGTGAGGTCATGCCTCAGGTCTGTTTATTCAAACATATTGTTACAGTTTGTACAACT